TCTGGGTGGCCCTGAGTGGCCCTGGGTGGCCCTGGGTAGGCCCAAACGGTAGCTACAGTACTCTAGCCTCTGCCCCAACTTCACGTGGCCTGGTTCTCTCTGGCTCCAATCTTCCTCTCCTTCCATCTGTATGGTCCGCCTGGGAAATCCAGGATCACCTCATCGCGGGATCCTTAACTTAATCACATCCTCAGAGACCCCATTCCCAGTAAATGGCCACTTGCATCTTTGCAGAGACTTGACAAGGATATATCTTTTGGAGAGCCACCCTTCAGCCCACCGCGTGCCTCAGTAACCTCGTCTGTAAACAGATGCACCTCCCTCACAGGCTCGTGAGGGCTGGATGAGTTAGGATAAGGCCTGGAACCGAGAGCTGCTGGGAGTGTGACTTCTACTCCCAGAAGGCAGCAAGCTGCCCTTGCACAGGCTGCCGTGGGCAGGCGACCAGGGCACGTGTCTGGCCAGGGCCCAGGAATGTGCATGTGCCCAGGAGGGTGCCCAGGAGGGTGCCCCAGTGCTGACAGCCCACGCCCATCCCGCCTTCCCCTCCACAGACAACGGCCCCGTCGGCAAGCGGCACACGGGAACCGCCACCGTGTTTGTCACCGTCCTGGACGTGAACGACAACCGGCCCATCTTTCTGCAGAGCAGCTATGAGGCTAGCGTGCCGGAGGACATCCCCGAAGGCCACAGCATCGTGCAGGCAAGTGGCCACAGGCCCGGGGCCGGTGGCAGCCTGGGGAAGAGCTTGCAGCTGAGCCACGGCCTGTGCTGGGAGGCACCGCGGCAGGGAGAGGCCAGGAGGGTCCTGCTGCTGCTCGGAACTGCCAGCGCTCTGGGGACAGGAGGGTCCAGGCCCCTCCTTGCCTCCCCCAGAGACTCGGCCCCCAGCTTACTGGAGGACAGGGCTCTGGCTCCATGCAAACAGAAGGAAGGCCTCAGCTCCTTCCCCCTCCCCCACCCCACAACTCTGTCCTCATCCTCCATCCCACCCAGAAGGGTCTTTCAGAGTCAGGAGGAGGCAGAGATGCCACATTTTCCCAGAAGAAACTTGAGGCAAGAGAGTCAGGGCCCCAGGAGGCCCAGAACAGAGCAGCTTTCATAGGGTGCTTGGCCGGAGCACCTCCTTGGAGGTAAACAGGCTCAAGAGGAAAGTGCTCCTTTGCCAGGCAGCTAGAGCAACAGCCGTTGAGTGTCAGAGGACCTAAAAATGAGGCTCTGGTGCCCTCCCCCTCCTGCCCAGGGGCCTCAGTTGCTGCCCAGGGAAGAGGGCCAGGAATAAATTACCCCTCTTCAGCAGCTGGGGAGAGGGGAGAGTGGTTTCCAGCTTGGAGACTGAGCCAAACACAGCAGATCTGGGCCTGTCCGCTGGGGCGGGCTCCAGGGCATGGCAGGGGAGGAGCGTGGGAGGCTGGGGAAGTGCCCACTTCCCTGCTTAGGGCTGGGAGCTGGGAACTGGGTGCTGATTCCAGAGCATGGAGGGTCCAGAAAGCCATGAAGATATGCAAGGGGCTAGTGACTGGTTCCAGAAGGAGGAAAGAGGTTTTCCCCCTTGGACCTCCACTCTAAGGGCATGAAGAGCAGTACCCCCTCACAAAGTTGCGGGGTCCTGAAGGCGATCTCCCTGGTCTAATAACCTGGGTCGCCCAGGACCAACCTCAGGGCATGCCTGAGGGGATAGCTAGGCCTTTGAGGGTCCTCTCCCATCCCCAGCTTTTTCTTCTTCCCCTACCTTTCCCATCCATCCCTAATGCCCAGGAACACCCAGTGCCAGTCGGGGTTTGCTGGCCAGAGGACAACATGTGGGCTTGACTGCAGGCAGGATTTAGCCTGGAATGTCACTTGGAGGAAGTAAAGCAGGGGGTGGGGAGAAGATGCAAAGGAAGGAACAGCAAAGCACTGTGTGAGGAGGTTTGTCCCACTTTCTAGCCCTAGGAATTAGTTTGTATTTACCCAACAAACTCAGACTGAAATCCCGGAGTAAACTAGGGCAGCTCTGATTCTCCCCATTTCTCAGAACACATTCTGGCAACTTCTCCAAGACCCTGGAAGGAAGTCTCTGGCCAAGCCAGAGATTCTCTCTGATGACAGAGGGGTCTAGAAGGCAGGCACAGTGGTCTCTCTAGCAGGGCCTACTTGAACAGAAACCTTCTCCTTGTGGCTTCCAGGGAAGAAGCGGGCACCCCCAAGACTGCTTTGGCTTTGGGGGGTTAGGGATGTATGCACCCATTTGGAGCCAGCCTTCACTCAGGAGACAGGTCTCAGACTTCCAGGTCCAGAGCCATGAGGCGTTAGACTGTGAGTGTCTTCCCGTGAACATCCAGACTGTAGGAAGGTGCAGGCCCAGCCAAGGATGGGCCCCATTGCTGGGAGGACGAGACCCCTGTCTTCCCCTGAGCGGTACCAAGGGTAGGGGCCGTTCCAGGTCAGAGGCGGCTTTCAGCTGGAGAGTACGGAGGCTTCCTGGAAGGTATCAAGCCTCAGCCAGGGCAGGACAGGTAGTTTGGTTTGCCTGGCGTCTTGGATCAAGAGGCTAGACTGAGTTCAGAGCCAGCTCCCAGAGGGTGCTGAACGTCAGAGTAGGAATCCGTGGCTTTGTGGATCCAGCAGGAGGGAGCCAGTGAAGGTTTTAGAGCTGGGAAGTAGTGAAACTGGAGCTCATTCTTTGAGAGTCCGTAGCTGGCTGCACTGTGAACCATGCCAGGGTGAGGTGGGGCAGCTGTGTAGCAGAGCGCAGGTGGCCCTGGGGAGCTGGCACTGTGCAGGAGCTCGGTAGCTCGGACCCTTTCTGCCCACTTTCCAATCAATGTTTAGCTGGGCTTTAGGAAGAGAAGCACTCCAAGAAGTACTCCTTGGGGTGGGATGGCTTTGACATTTGCCCCAATGAAGCAGATGTCAGAAACACAGCACAGCCCGCGAGGTCTCAGGCCTGAGGCCACAGCTGCCACCTAGGTGAGACTTGGGGCCACTACAGTGTATCCTCAGAGGCCGGGGGAAGCACCCAGCCCGCTGCCACTCCACCACAGCATCAGTCCTGGCCTCTCTCAGGAGCTTCTTAGCCCATCCTCAGCCCTTTCGTGACCCACCCAGAAACCTCCATTGAAGGGGGGCCAGGAGAAGCGAGGTGATAGGGAGAGCCCCCCGCTGCCCCTCCTCCCCAAATGCACCCAGGTCTGGCGTCCACCAGGGTACTGGCTGCTCCCACAGATCACTAGGCAGATGCTGGCAGGAGACTCAAGGAGAGGAGTCCCAGGTTTCTTTGGGCACTGAGTTGACACAGAGAACAGACAGCACTTGCTCCCAGTATGGACTAAATATTTCACTTAGCAGGAAGGAGCCTTTGGACTTTGGCATCTGGAGGGCCGACGAGGTTTCTGTTGGGAAGCAGGACACTGCTTTCTGGAGGTGGATGAGATGGGACCTGGGCGCCCCATGTTGTGTCCCTAGAGCTGTGGCCACATGTCCAGGTGGCTGCCAATACACAGCACCTATTCCGGGAATCTTCTAGCAGGTTAGCTACAGGGTCTGCGAGGAGCATGTCCTTCTGGGGACCCCCTCTGGGAAGGGGCCTGGGCACACGGGGACTTTGAGGGTGTGCACGTGACCCAGGCTGCATAGGCAGTGAACCCCTGCAGCGCCAGACCAGTTTGGCAGGAGAGTCTGCAAATCGACCCTGGAGGAGGGCCCCCCGGCCCCCCCATCACATTTTGGTGGATTCTGTGCACTCACAGTCCTGGCTGTCTTTGCGGCTTGGCAGGGGGCGTCGAGGGGCTGACCAGCCCCTGCGGAAGCTGTGCAGGGAGCGGCGCAGGGAGCCCAGACGCTTCCAGAGCCGGAGCTGGGGCTCGCTGGGGCTCCCGGGGTGGTGGGGCATGCACTCACGAGCCTGCTGGCGGCTCGGGTCCAGTGCTGCCGGCTTGCAGAGCGTCATGAACAGCAGGCAGGTGGCCAGCAGTAGGAAGATGCAGGCCAGGGCGACGAGCATGGGCAGGTGGCCCGTCATCTCGGAGGGGCTCCCTGGACTCGCTGGAGCTGTGAGGAAAGCAAGGGGGCTGGGGCCCTCTGTGCTCATGGTTCCTGCAATAGGAATGGGACAGAAGCTTAGAGGCAGATCAGCTGGGCTCAGGTGGGGAGGAAAGACTTTGCTGGGCGTGTGCTGTGGCACGAGCTGCAGGTGGCATGGTGGCCATTTCACAGGCTAGGAGAGAGGCTCGGCAAGGTGAAAGACTAAGGTTGCAGAACAACAGGTCAGTGATGGAGTTGGGCCTGACACCAGATGCTCTTGCTGCAAACCCTCCTGCTCACCTGCCCCTCACGCCCCCGTAGAAACTACCAGAATTTTAAAATCAAGTCCATGAATTATAACAGTTATAACAATTATAACAGTCTCTGACCTGAAAACTTAGAATCTAAGACAAACTCCAACTGTTTGTGATCAGAACCGAGTCCTTGGTTACAGGATGACAGGGTGTTGCAGCTGGTGAGAACTCTCATGATCACCTGATGCCTAGGTCAGCACTTTGGGGACACCCTCCCCCCCCCACCCGCCCTGCCGTATGTTTTGTTGAGTCTTTGTGGTATCCTGATCAATTTTTTGATTAATCGTAAATTTTACTGAATATAAACACAAAACAAGAGACTGCATGTCAGTGCTGATTGTCTGGCTTCTCAAGAGACTCCACAAGGTCAGCACCGGCCACACAGGGGCACGTGTTGCCAGGCGCCCATCTGCTGCCACCGAGCATCGCTGGCGCTCGCTCTGTGCTCCCCCACAAGCCCACTGCCTGCTCCCGTGGCCAGCAAGGACGCTGAGGCCAGGCAAGGGCCGGTGGCCTAGGGAAGCCCCAAAGTAGGTGTCTTGGCTCCCGGCCCCAGCCTGCCCTCTAGGCTCGCTGAGTTGCTCTGAGAAAACATGGGACATAACCCACAGAGTACAGGAGCTCTCCCGGGGAGCACCAGCTCCCAGACTCTGGTCCCCTGTAGCACTTGCCATCCCCCCACCGATGGCCCTCAGAGATAGCCAGGTTGAGTTTTGGTTGGATGCTTCGGGGCTGCAGACTAATGTGCTTGCACAGCCTGGCAGGTCCATAACATGTGGCCCCAGAGGGCAGGTGGGCAGGTCCACCTGGAGAGAGCTGGCTGCGCCCTCTGAAGGGTGCGGTGCTGTCCCAGCCAGACCCACAGAAGACCCGAGTTGTAGGCCCCTGTGGTCTCTCTTCCAGTTTCCAGAGAAGCCAGAAATCTGGATTTGTAAGCAAATTCTGCTGCAATTTAAATGTTGACAACCAGTTAAAATTTGGGGAAGATGAGAGAGGGGAAAAAAAAGAAAGAAAAGAAAAATTCCAAAGTCCAAACTGGATTTCAAAAAATTTCGAGATGAATTTTCCAATATTTAACGTGCTACAACGGGCCAAACAAAACATACAGTGGGCAGGCTGCATTCAGTTTGCCGGACGGCATGGGTGATGTTTAATCCTTTAGTGTCGGGAAACACAGGCTAGGGTATTTATCAGCGGGTCTGATAAAAAACAAACAAACAATCACTTTGCTTTGACGTTGGAGACCTCAGGAGACAGGGGTAGCAGATTTCCCCTCCATTAGTCCCAGCCAGTGGCCTAGTCTCACTCGCGGTTGAGTTTCTGGGGCTGACACCCGGCAGGAGGGGGCGCGTTAAGTCATGCCAGGCGCTGTCTGTGGGCTGCACAGAGCCCGTGACAGCAGGTAGTGGGGGGCTGGAGAGTGGCCACCCAACCCCCAGCTCCTGTGCCCACCCCAGGTACTCACCAACAGCTGCAGGGTTTAACTCCCAGCTCCCTGTGTCAGCCAGCTGAGGGTATGTGCTTGCCTGTGCCACCTCCCACCGCTCCCTGCCACTCCTTCCCGCATTTCCAGACAGAGCGCCACCCCTCCCAGTTCCCACTGGAAACTTTGATGCCCGTCTTGCTGCCCAGGGCCTCTGCCTTCCAGGCATCAGGCCTGGAGAGTGCTCTGCCCGGGCAGCCATACATGAGTTAGCCCTTCCTTGAATCTGAGCCTCAGGGAGACTGGGGGTTCCCAGAGGGCGAGAACTAACTGTCCTCCCCGGGGCAGGGCCTGGCTGGGTGTAAGGAAAGGACAGATTGAAATGGGAGACGTCTCAATCCTGCTAGCCCCCATGTTCCTTACTTCAGTACTTTCGCGTGGACCTGGAGACCCTGTTGGGATAGCAGGTCCAGGCTTCAGTCCTTAGGGGCACACTTCATAATACAAAGGTAAGTGACTGTAATTGGCATCAGAATAGTTCCCTAGAAGCAGTGATTCTGAAGCTTTGAAAACCTCAAGCCACCCTCAGGCACACATAGCAATTCCAGCTGCCAGGCTTCTTGACCCCCACCTCTGACCAGCCAGCAAAGCAAAAGCTGGCTATCAGCTGCCCCTGCTCACAGGAGCCCAATGCCTTGCTCTAGATATGTCTCTGCAAGATCAGTCTAGAGCCTTCTTTCCTCTCTGCTCCAACGGACAGAGCCTACGAGCAGAGGAGGCTGACCTCAGAACACGTAGGGTCACCCAGCCAGTTAGTGCTGGGCAATCTGATGCTACCCCTTAAAATCAGTGGGCAGACATGAGCCGAGGCCTTGAGCTTCTTCCAGTGTGGCCTTGGGCTAGCCACTGCCCCTCACTGGGTCTTGTTTCCACTCTCTACAAAAGCAAAGGGACTTCCCAGGCCTAAGCATATACACACACACATCCTCCCCAGGGGGCCCCAGCAAGGGTCTGGCCCCTGCTTTCCTCACCAAGCTTTCTCCTTCAGTGCTGCAAGTGGTGACCTCAGAATCAGGCCTCAGCAGTCCGAGCTGGGTGGGGAGGTCTTCTCAGCTGTCCAAGGGAGGCCCGTGACCTCAGCCCACTCTGAGCTCTGCGGTGCCCGTGCCCCTTAACCAAGACAGACAGAGAGGGCCACCTCCTCTCACTCTCCAGCTGGACCTGGCCTTGTCTGGAAGAGCGTGGGCCCTGCCTTGGAGGAGGGGACAGCTAGAGGGTAGGGATGGCCAGCTGGGCTGGGAAGAGGGCGAGGGGAGCCACAGTAGAGGAGCCTGCAGCTCTGAAGCTTCCAGTGGCCTCACTCCAGCCTGTCTCCTTGGAGCCCTCTGGAGGTGCAGGGGGTGCTGTGGGGATGCAGGGGGAGAGTTAACTGCCTCTGTGAACCCAGGGCTCTCACCTTCCCCCCTTGGCTGTTGGAATGGTATAGTCGGGGGGCAGCCAGCGGGTGGCTATTCACTGGCTGCCAGCCGCCAGGTTACCCGGGAGAGGGGCTCCAAGCCTTGCAGTGGGAGGGAGCCAGCAGAGCTTGGGCATGGCAGCTCCCTCCTCCCCTCCTGCCTTGTTCCCTGGGCCCCTCAGCTTCCCAGGAGGCACCTTCCTTTTAAAGGTATTGAGCTACAGAAGGGAGGAGCAAGAGGCATTTTCAAGGTCAAAGTGATCATAGGGCAGAAAGCAGTAGATTGACAGCCAGCCAGGCCGTGGTGGTGATTCCACGGGCATGCCCACACACATACACACACACCTCTCTCTCTCCCTCCCTCCCTCTCTCCCTCCTCGTTCCTCCTTCCCTCCTCCCCTCCCCTCCCAGCATGCTCTCTTCATACAAGCCAGAGCTTCCCCGGCAACTGACTGCACACTCTACAGCCTAGTGTTAAGCAGGTTCCCCATCACAGCACCCCAAGCCCCCAGAAATACAGCATGGTGGGGGTAGCAGGGTCCCTGCCCAAGACCTGAGCCCGGTGCCCACTCCATTTTGGGGATCTCTAGTTTCTGATATTCAGCTACTCACTCTTGCTCTTAGCCCACAATAACAGCAGCCTAGCACACCCCAGTTGGTGGGGATATCCCAGGGCTCTCGGCCCATTAGGTGACTGAGGGCCCATCTCATCCAGCCCAACCCCAAGTGCATGAACTGAGGACCAGAGAGGCGTGGCCTTCCAGCAAGCATCACCCCGCAAGTCAGTGTGTGTGTGTTGGGGGTGGGGGGAGGTGCGGGAGGGTGCTCTCCCCTAAAGTGGGCAGGCATGGGCAGAGGCATCCAGTGCCTTGAACAGGTTGGCCTGCAGATGCTTCCAGCAAATACCTGTCGCATGAGTTGCATTCACTTACTCATTCAACAGATATTTGACTCTTCTATGTGCGGGATCATTCTTCCAGAGACTTAGAGATACAATAGTGAACACAGCCCCTTCTTTCCATGGGGATATAGAAAATAAACAAGTACAGGATGTGTTGGAGGGTGACTGGGGTGCGATGGCCTCACTCTTGGGGTGAACCTTCAATTTCTTATAAAATGTCAAGGAAGGCCTCCTTGACATTTGGGCAGAGACCTGAAGGTGAGGGAAAGAGATGCAAGGGAAGGCAAGTGGCCAGGCAGTGGACACATCAAGCAAGAGCTAGGCCCTGCGGCACAGAGTATACTCGGTATTCAACAGCTAGCCAGGAGGCTGGTGTGGCGTGGAAAGAGCCGGGGAGGAGGGTGGAGGCTGAGCCAGATGCCAGGAGGAAAACTGCTATTTCTGGGACACCTCTGGGGAGACTGGCTCTTCCTTTAAACCCAAGGTCAGAATCCACAGAGGAGATTGTGATTGATTCAGTTTTCACTTTCCTGGGCTGGTTGCTGCTGGCTGTTGTCAGGAAAACTTGACCGCCCCAGCGCACACCCCAGGATTGCAGTGAGATGTGGAAAAACAGGAGGGACAGACCCAGGACAGGGAGCATCCTGTGCTCACAAGGAAAGTCACCAGTCGTAAGGGACAATGTGCTGGGCGCCATGGAGTCTCCTCAGCCTCAGGCCCCTGCCCACCTCACCTTGCGGGAGTGTTGTCTGCCTATTCCAGGTGTAGAGCAGGTAGATTAAGTGCTCAGTTCTTGGTGTGGCAGGTCTCCCTGGAGCTAGGGCTAAGCATTAGACAGCAGCTCCGTGAGAACCCCATTCCTCTGCCCCACCCGAAGTCCCACAGGAGACAGTACGTAAGCCTGAGGTGCACCTGAGCAAAAAATATGGAACTGACTGGAGTGAGCGTGGATGTGAACTAACATGGAGCCCTC